TTCCCCTTGCTGTGTTCTAAGTGATATAAGATAATCATAACCTGAAGATAATAAATGAAAAATCCCAGAAATAAGCTCCCAAGGTTTGGGGAGTTTTTCTTAAGTTTTAAATAACTTTTAATATAGTGTGTGGTCATACTTGTTCTACTGCATGATGACCTACTGTTGTTGGTCTCTTAGTGTTCATCAGTGACAGTTCACCACTAGCCAAGATTTCAGGCACCCACAAGGGTCTTGGAATGAGTCCTCTGTGGATAAGGAAGCACCACTGCAGACGAAGAATTTGTCTTCAAATTTAACTGCATGTGTTCATTTGAGGATAGTAGTGTCTCCAAACTTTGCTGTGCCTTGGTTTTCCTAGGAAAGCCCTTGAGCTAAAATACTGACCCTGTAGAACTTACATTTGTTTTCCCAATTTCTCAACAGCAAAAGCATTGAGATTTTTGTTAGCTTGCATAGCCTTTTTAAAGAAAACAAACAAAAAGAGCACCTCTCTTTTAGGCTTTTTTAACGTAGAAGAGAGCTAGAACCTCAGAGTTGAGACCAAGCAACTCTGTTGTTTTGGAAGTGTTAGGAAAAAGCAAGCCAGAATCAACCCTTCAGGGCCACCAGAGGCGGTACCTGTAGGGAGAGTGCAGCTTTGAGGTCTTTGATGGTGACAATGTCATTGCCTCCTTTTGAGTCATTTGACACAGGTTTCTGAAAAGACAGGTTAAGTTGCCTGGAGCTAAAAGTTCCAGAGCCTCCTGGAACAGGTTGGCATAAGCGCTAAAGATGAGACCCTGGACATTGGAGCCAAAAGGTGAGGCTGGATGCTGAGGATGAAGGTGAAAAGATGTCAGTGGTGGCATGCAGATGGCCTTCGAAATGTCACCTTTCTGAGAGAGAAAAAGGCACAGTGGAATTTTACCAGGCTCATTCTCTAATCAACACTGCCCTCCAGTTAACTCAGAGGGTGATTACTTTCTGCCTGACCCACATTCTGCTCAATTGGCATGGAAAGGCAGCAAGCGCCCACATGAATTCTTTTCTAAAAATAAGGTGGCCTCTTTAATCTCTTATTTGTAAAAGCTCATTTATGAGCGCTCTTCTGGCCCAGCACTCTGTGGCCCCTTTAAGCAGACACACACACACACACACACACACACACACACACACACACTCTGGGGCTTCCCACTCTTCTGCATAGGGGCAGTTCTTGCCTTCTGCCTTCTCACTTTCTCCCCAGGAAGCAGGCTTGCACACACACACACACACACTCTGGGGCTTCCCACTCTTCTGCATAGGGGCAGTTCTTGCCTTCTGCCTTCTCACTTTCTCCCCAGGAAGCAGGCTTGATGGGCTGCCTGCCAGGGACGGAACAGATGTCCAGAGAAGGTGACTGACTGAGACGAGGATTCTCAGCCAGGCCGGAGACTGATGTCTCAGAAAGCTGTAAGAGTCTTAGTTGATGTGGACGTGCAGATACCTGTCGTGTTTGGCACAGTCTCTTCCACTTTAATGGTGACTCTGGGCCATGCTGCTGCTGTGTGCCAAGCAGTAGAATTCTAGAGGAAGGGTGGAGTTCTACCAAAACGCACACACGTAGGAGCCTGGCGCCTTTGGCTTCATATCCTGGCTCCTTCTCTTTATCAGTGATTAAATTCACTTTAACAATGTAAAACACTCTTTATTCCTAGTGTCTTCATCATACAATGGTGGTAGTGTTTTGCCAGGCTGTGGCACAGACTGAAGAAGAGGTTGTGTGGCAAGGCCCTTGCTGTGTTAGGTAGCTCTCTGCCGCTGTGACAAAACATCCTGGGAAGTTAACTTAAAGGCACAAAGGTTTGGTTCCGGCTTATGGTGTCAGAAGTTTCAGTCTGTGTTCAGCTGGTCCCACAGCCATGGTCCTCAGGGTAGAGGGGTATCATGGTGGACGGACATAGGGGAGCAAAGCTGCTCATCTCAGGGGAAGCAGAGACAAAGGGAAACAGCCAAAAAGGAAGAAACTGGATAAAACCCCCAGGGCCAGGCCGGGTGATCCACACCTGCATGTAGGCTCCACCTTCTGTTTCTGTCTCACAGTGGCACCCTCAAATCAGATTTCCTCAATGGATTAATCCCCAGTATCCAATCATGTCCCAAAGCCCGGCAGCCTGCAGCCAGGCTTCAGCACATGAGCTTTGAGGCAGCTCCAATCCAAACCCTCACAGGCCCTAAGGTACTGCCTACCGTGGGGTGGTTTTAACAAAGAAATTACTGCAGCAGCTTCTATTGTTTCAAAGATTAAAAGGCTTTCAGGGGAAGTGGGGTTCCATTTATTAGCACACAAGGCTCTGAGTGCCCATCAGTTAGCCAATTCTAAGGCAAGGAAGGAAAAGCAGACCTAAGACAGATTTAGGAGTTCTTATAAGCAGATGCTAAACATGATCCAGAAACATCAATGTAATGTAATACAAAGGAGGCATTGTGGCCTGCTACCTGGCACTCAGACGTATCTGCCTGTAGGGCACGGAAAACAGCAGGAGAACCTCGGCTCCCAGCTACTATTTTATTTCCTTTTTAAGTTGTTTGATGCTGGGAGTGGAACCCAGAGTCTCAAACCCCCTAAACACATACTTTACCACTGAACTATAGGTACCTGTAGGCCCACAGTTATAATTTTAGATATGCCACAATGCCTAAATGCTTAGATTATTCATTCAGTAAGTCAACGCTAGTTATTGTCCAGCTATTCTATTTGAGGATAGATTGTCTCCAAACCTTGCTGCATCTTGGTTTTCCTGGGAAAGTCCTTGAGGTAAAATACTGACCCCTGTAGAAGTAGGGATGGTGGCACGTGCTTATAATCCCAGAATTCTAGAGGCTGAG